TGAAAAGTGGGAAGAAACTGCTGCCTACCAGTCATTCTGAGCAGGAACTTCATGACTCCGTGAAGCTGGATTTTCTCCCACAAAGCACATTTCATCATGGGAACTGGAGGATGACTGGTCAGACAGGTGGGCAGGAAGCAGAGGAGGCCGATCATCTTCAATCATCACTATGTCATCCTGCGGCATATTCACCGTGGGAGAGAGCTGGTAGTGACCTGAGACACAGCGACAGGAAGAGAAAGATTATTTATTAATGACATAACTATCAAAACTGTGTCAGACATCACAAAGTCATGGAAGTAAAATAAACAAATACATACATAAAGGGTTGGCCTAACTTTAACACATCATGAAGTCAGAGAAGTATGATAAATGTAAAATTAATCAATTAATTAATAAATCAAATATGTGATGATGCAGAAGAAAACTCAAAACACGCACAGATCGACAAAGAAACCAAATATTTGATTAGATTAATGAAGAACAGGACAACCTTTAGCAGCCAAAATTACATCTGCTAAAATAAAAGAAATATACCATAAAGATTCATAAAGGAAACTTCAATTCATCCAGAGAAATGTCCATTATTGCTACAGAGGAAAGCTGGAGATGTAGTTCCATTCATTTTTCTTCATTCTTCTCCAAGGACAAATGTGTATAAAAGGAGAGCTGTCCTGATCTGTATTCTGTCCCTCCCAGTCCTCCCCGCTGAGGACTTTCAGAGTCGCTCTTTTGCTGCTCCTCAGGAGTCAAAGTCAATGGGGAATGTTGCAGGCACTCAGTGCTAAGGGCAGTGGAGACACTGCTCAGCAGCATCAGAAACAAAATTACAGCATAAAACTGCACGATTCTCCAAGTCTGTAACACAAATATGAATGCTCTCATTAAAGCTCAACCTGGTGTCGAGACACATGATGGGACCTGAATTCAGCCGCACCTGCTTACCATTACAAAAGGGCTTGTCACAAACTCTGGACTTCCTGTGGTCTTTGTTTTTGTTTCCATTATTGGAGGGCCATTTTCCTAATTTAATAGCTTAGGAACAATTGTATGTAATCACTAACAGCAGACAACAATATTTACCCTGGCATGAATCCGAGAGGCTTAAATTCACCGGGGCCATGAACAAGATAAATGCACTTTGTGGGAGTAAAAATCTGAGCACCAGTGAGCAACGCAGCAGTACAGTGTGTAGTTCAGTTTAAGTATTTACTCAGAAAACAAACGGGAAAATCAAAGAGGGAAAAAGGCGAGCGTGTGGAGAGAAAGTCCAGCAACAAATCAATTAATTTGTTGAATATGTATTTTTTAGTCATTTATCATACCGAACGGTAAAAGGGTCATGTAACCAAAACATGATTACTAAAACTCGTTTTCTACAAATCAGACTTCAGAGAGTCTGTATACTGTTACTAAGATGTTATTTTAGTTTGAATAATGCTGCTATTATTGCATTATCATGTTGTTAAAAACTTGCTCATGGATGAAACTGTTTCACTTGTATTTATATACCCCAGAATTGCTTTGTTATATAGCAGGTGAGACCCCTAACCCAGTCAGCAGACATGAAGCAAGAACATAGATTTCTTGGTTTAAAGGAGAAATCAACCAGGAAATTCAACATGAGCGAAAAAAGAAACGTTTTGCCAAAAAGTAGAAAATGCAAACGAAACGAAAAATGCATCTCAAAAGTTGGCATGTCAACAACTCCAGCTTTCTTAAAAGAGAAGGAAATAGATTATTTACAGGGAACATAAGAGGGGAATTAACTGCTCGTTTAAGAGAAGCATTTGACTAAACCAGTCACATTTACTTACTATTGAGCTAGCATCACCTGGCTGCAACTGTTACACTCAAAGTTGTGAGAAACGGGGTCATGCAGAGCAATAACAAACAAACTGCAAAAAAATACTGCATTTTATTGTTACAAGAGACAAAAGCGGCTGCACATTGGTGCAGTGGTTAGCGACGTTGCAAGGAGGTCCTGGGTTCATAGCCTGGCCTGGGGTCTTTCTGCAAGGAGTTTGCATGCTCTCCCGATGCACGCGTGGTTTCACTTCGGCTTCTTCCCACAGTCCACAAACATGACTGTCAGGCTGATTGGTCTCTCTAAATTATCCTTGGGTGTGAGTGTCTGCTTGGTTGTTTGTCCTGTGTGTCTGTGCTGCCATGTGTCAGACCGGCAACCTGCCCAGGGTGTACCCTGCCCGAAGAGTGCTGAAGATAGGCACCAGCCCCTCATGACCCTGCTTGGATAAGCGGGTACAGAAATTGAATGAATAGAATAGACAATAGCTACAGTAAGTTCCCAACAAGTGCAGCTGCACATCTATTTTCGGATACAATTTGACTTGAAACCGAGCTTTCACCGAGGACAGATTCATGTCACAAGATGTAAGCTCTAGGGAGATGGCCCACTGCGGCCCAGGGGTCTCATTCATCAAACATTGCACAGAATCCTTACTAAAACCGTACTTAAGCTCAGCAAAAAAAGTACTTACGCCAAGTAGGTTTGTGATCTATCAAACATGGAGTACGCACAGCTGCACGCAATCTCCGCTTCATAAATCAGAAACTATCTAGAAAGGTTCTCAGCTGCTTTTTAGTCACATACCGCCCTCACCACGCCCACTTACTGCCATAAATAGTCTATGCAAAGTGGATCTCATGCATATACATAAGCCGGCTTGTTGCAGCGCTCCGCCAATGACATGGGGACCGTAGATCAAGGCAGATCAAGGAAGTGCAATTTCACAGAAGCAGAAATTCATGTACTTGTGGGTGAGGCAGAAAAATGAAAGAAAGTGCTTTTGCAAAACAAGAGAAAATCCACGGAGTGGCACAGCGTTGCTGAAGCCGTCAATGTTGTGAATTCTTCAGAGAGATCTGTGGCGGATATAAAAAAAAAGGTCCAATCGAGATTCAATCCCCAGGTGAAAGTCACGCGCACTAACCAGTCACCTAAACGGAGATCTCCTTGTACAAGTAGGCAGGGCGCATGATCAATCGGGTCACAGTGACAGGACACTCACTGTCACAGACGCATGACACTCTGTCTCAGTCTGTCCCCCTGCTGATATTCTGCATTCTGTATTCTGCGTTTCAGGCTGTGTGTATGTGTGTGTGTGTGTGTGTGTGTGTGTGTGTGTGTGTGTGTGTGTGTGTGTGTGTGTGTGTGTGTGTGTGTGTGTGTGTGTGCGCGCGCACGTGTGTGTGTGAGTGTGCATGTGTGTGTGTGCATGCGTGTGTGTGTGCATGTGGGGGGTCTTGTTCTGTGTGAAAACGAAGCAGTACAAGTGATAATGCTGCAGGATTTCATAATTGTATCCTTCTCAGCAGCAGCACGGCAGGTGCTCTCCATGTCCAACATGTGCGTAAGCCAGGTCCTTGGTCAACTTAAAGTTGCGCACATTTTTCCGCTGTTTTCTGTCATAAATCCCAAAGTTTCCGTGGAAAGTTGCTTACGCAGTTTTCCGACCCCATTTTGTGCGTAGGCAAGCTTGATGAATGAGGCCCCTGAACCTCTGAGGAACACCTAATTATATCAATGAACTGAAGAATGAAGGCTAAAGGAGGTCCAGCCTGATTCTAGAAAACTGTACAAAAAGTGGGGCGATGGTGATGGACAAGTTAAGTGTCTGCCCTTTTAACCGGTGGGTTGCAGGTTCGTACCCCACTCAGTTTGCTGCAACCATTGTGTCCTTGGGCAAGAAACTTCTAACTCCTTGCCTGCTGATGGTGGTTAGAGGGACCAGTAGCACCGATGTACAGGGGGCTCGCCTCCATCAGTGTGCCCCAGGACAGCTGTGGCAATGCAGTTCATCTCTGTGGGAGTATGAAGGTGTGCACACATGGGTGAATGACACCTTTGAGGTTTTTAGGACTCTAGAAGATGCTATATAAATACAGACCAATTACCATCAACCAAAGTGGCCAGTGAGTGCATGCTTTAACTTGCTGAGAGCTGAAACAAAATGCAAAAGCTCTTAAAAACTCAGTTCATTTATTTAAACTTGAGCACGCTGAATGGAGTTACTGTTCTCACAAGCCCAGTTCCATAATCTAAAATCACCTTTTATTTAGTTCTGACCAAAATAGTTCTGAAAACACTGGGAACCTTTCATGCTTTTTCCAGACACATTGCCTTGTAGAAAAATAAATAGAACAAAACTGAAAAAAAAAAAATTTGATTGGATTGTGAGACATCATTAGTCACAAAACTTTGAGAAAAGGGAAGGTCATAAGGACATGCTTTAATCATGATAAATGCTTCACAACAATATATGCATTTGTTTGGTAACTTGCCTTTTACTGTGACCTTTGTTCTTTGTTCTGTGACATTCTAATTAAAGGTGATGGCCCATGAGACACACTGACCCAAAGCAGACCCTCTACCCAAACACCCATTCAACCAGGAAAGATTTCTTTTTACCTTGCTGATATTTTCAACCACCCATGCAGTCTTCATCCGAGCTAGCTGCTAATGGCGGCATCACTTTCTTCTTTGTTTATTTGCATGCAGCAGAGGATGGCGTTGCCCTCTGCTGCACGCGCTCTCCTCACCGATGACACAGTCCCATGTGTGATCTAATGTGTAGACCCCATCGTCTCTGTTCATGGTTGTGTGTCCATGTCTCCTTATTTCTATGGCTTCCTTAATCCATCTTTTATAATTCTGTTTTCCGGTGGCTATGAATCTTGTGTTGTTCTAGTCCATTATATGGTTTTCTCTTGTGCAGTGATCTGTTACGGCTGATTTCTTTATTGTACTTTCTGCTCTTGTGTGCCATTGTTTGTTTCCTTCTCGCTCTCTTTTCTATGTTCTAATGTTCGTGTGTTGAGTTGGCGTCCGGTTTCTCTTATGTAAGTTTTATTGCAGAGTTTGCATGGGATTTCATAAATGACTTATGTCCTGCTGATATCTTGTCCTTTAGGTGTACTAGTTTTTTTCTAACTTATGTATCGTTTTGTTGGTCTGTTTGTGTTTTGTTTTTTCATTG